CCCGCGTTGTCTCAGGGTTCAAAGGAAGTCACTGCCCTTTCCCATCTGGGTAGCTCCAGGGAAGAACATGTTAATAGTGTCTCTCAGCAAGTGGCAACTTTTGTGTTTCCTGTGTCTTCTTGTCTTCCTGAGTCAGCCAGTACACAGACTCCTTGTACCACAGGAAAGAAGATTCACAATTGCCTTGTTAATCTAATAAATACAATTATAGCCACTTAGTGTCTTGTCATTCGATGCCCACCCGCCTCCTGTCAGGGAAGAAATGTGGGCCGACTCCAGGGCCCCAGCCAGCCCCTGCAGGCTGGAACCCTCCGAGAACGGCCCCAAGGTGGACAGGGAGGTAGGAGGCCTGGTTTCCTACCCCTGGCCCAGGGAGCTTTTGTTCAGAGAAGAGAAGCAGGGCCTGGCGCCCTTCTGCCTGCTCACCCGACCTACGAGGTGTCAACAGGAGGGCCTGTTTGTAACGGTCAGCATGAGACGTCCGTCCACGTCTGCACAGACAGCACAGGATGGCCATGAGGCACAGCGGTCTGCCTGCTCCTGGGGCAATGCAGTGTGCACGGGCCTCAGGCGCATGGTGTCCTCGTGTTCTTTGTTTGAGCAGAGCGACCGCCAGGGTGACACGTGAGTGGGCTTACAGTCAGCCGAGTGCATGCCCGCCAGAAAACACCAACGGGGCTGCCTTGGCACGTGTTCCCTTGGGCCTGCTGTGAACGTGCGGATGTGCAGGGGGTGTGCTAGCACCCGTGTACTACTGCTCGGCAGGCATTTCCCACTCACCACCTCCTTTGTCCTTGGTGGCAGGCGCCCGCGGGAGGCACACCCAGGCTGAGCGGGGGTGTTTGTTTCAAAATACCCATGATAATAAAATAGATCTTGCGTCTTGGAAGCACATCTCAGGAAAGAGCAGTGGGGTTGACCATGATCACCATGAGTGTTCGCAACAGATCTTGCACTACTTGTCGTTTATTTCTGATCTACTAAAAACAGTGAAACTTTTGACAGAGCCACCAGAAACAACACATTCAACAACATGGAAGAAACGTCTGTGGATGTCTTTTTTCTATTTAATTGTCTTACATACTTAGTTTATCTAACTGGCAATTTTGTAAACATATACTTTAATGTCAAGATTCAAGTGGAAACAATTTTCTTACAAAGATTGCAGTTGAAATGTTGAAACTGTGTTTGCAGTGCCACCCCAGCCCCAGCCTTTCCTGCCTACTTCTCACACTGGGGGCGTTGCACTCTCGCACAAAATAAAAACGCAGGTAGTCCTGGCTCACCAGCAAGCACACTGTCGCCTCTTCTTCCCAGCTCATCTTTTCAAAACTAACTCGCGCCGGCCCCTCGGTGCACCCTGTTCCTGGCAGGTGTGATCGGAAGGGCCCGGGGGCTCTCCCGTTCCCCAGTCACAGAGAGCGTGAGCCACCCGCCGGGAACACAGCCTGCGGCCGCAGGCCAAGCCCCTCCTCGCCCAAGTCCCTCCTTGCCCAGCCCCTCCCTCACGTGCTCCACCCCCCCCCCAGGGGAACCCATCTCCACCCAGACCCAGGGGGCCTCCTTTGTCAAGATGTCAGAGCCAGCGAGGACACAGACACGGGGAGGCAGCGGCGATAAACCCACACTGAGAAGGCCGGCGAAGGCCGGCTGCGGGGCTCCCACACTCAGCCCTCAGGCCAAGGGGAGGGCGAGGCTTCCCCTCGTTCTCTGCACCCCCCACTACGGCACGTCTGGGTCGTGGGCACTGTCACCCGCCGGTGGCAGGTGGGAAGAAACGTGCAGGCCAGCCTGCGCTCAGCAAAGCGAGAGGCTGCTCCAGACACGGCTGTGGAGGTTTGCAGACGGCAAGGTGGCTTAAGACAGCAGTTCCACAAAGGCAGGTTGTGCCTCAAGTCCAAACCCCTGGCATAGCCAGTGTGAATTTATTTCTTGACAGCATCCAGCAGATCCCAGCAGAGGCGCTAAGTTAAGACCTTAACACGAAGAGGGGCGTCAGAGCTCTAGGCAGTGCACATACTGGTTGTGTGTCGTGGGTGGCCGGCAGCAGGCTGTGTGCGCAAAGCAGCATGAGCAAACAGAAGCGGTTGCACCGTGAGTGAGTAACCTCTAAGGTATCATAATTACACGTAATGGGATGTCCCTCACAGTCCCTCTGTACCTCCAGGTGACTCGTGGCAAGGAACCTGCCCGGCCCGCTAGGCCGACTTCTCGGCCGCCTCGGTCTCCTGCTCGGACAGCTTCTCCTCCGAGAGCACGGACATCCAGGGCGAGACGGAGCGTGTGATGCTCTGCTTGGCCAGGTTGTAGTGGTTGATGACCGTGTAGAACTTCTCCCGGGCGCTGGAGTCTTGCTCCGCGTAGTAGCTCTCCAGGCCCTCTGGGATGCACTGGGTGTTCTGCAAGACAAGAGGCCACTGAGACCACGTGCCGGGGCGGGAGGGGTGACGGAGCGAGGCCCTGCGAACACTTTGCTGGGCTTGCAGGAACACGCGCAGCCAGGAGGGAGCGCGGCCGGGGGCCGGGTCCCGCCCTCAGCACGCACGGCCCCAGGGAAGCTGGCCTTGGTTGCCATCCCCAGAATGGAGGCTACAAGCGCCACAGCAGACGGGCACACGGGACAGCAGGCCTTACTCACAAGCCATCGTGTGAGTTGACATTTACTTCTAACCTGCTGGAAAACGATGTCCCATCTGACACGTTCAGGAGCAACCAACAGAAGTGGAGAAGGAAGGGACCGTGGGAGAGGCTTCCCTGGGCTGGGCGCGGGGTTGGGGAGAGCATTCACGGCAGAGGAAGGCCCGGGGCAGCAAGACAGCGGGAGCGGGAACATGGCGGAAGGGGTCCAGGGGCCCGCGGGCCCGGGCCTCGGGGTCCTGGGTGGGGCTGTGAGGCGGCCTCGCGGCCAGAAGCAGGGGCTAGGAAAGCCAGGGACCCCACCGCTGTGTCTGAAGCTCTGCGTCCGGGCCCTGGGAGGGAGACCAGGCCGCGGCTGCCATCCGCTCGTCAGGAGTCCAGGGCCTGCACCCAGGCTGGGGCCTGTCAGCCCAGGGCTGGACTCACCCGCTGCCCCAGCTCCAGCACGCGCTCGGTGCCGCCAGAGCCCGCAGACGCACACGCCGCCTGCACGAGGGTGTGCAGAGCTGCCGGTCCTCTCCTGCCAACCATTCTCCCCGGAACCAAGCCGTGCACGTGCACCCCGGCTAGAGGATCCATCCCCAGCCTGCCTGCAGCCCGGTGAGGCTGCCGACCGGCTTCCGGCCGGTGGGGTAGCGGGAACAGGGTCCGGCCTGGGCCACGGTCGCCGTCCCCGGAAAGAGTCTCAAGACTCCGTCTCAGACACCCTGCCGCCCCAAAAGGCTGACCCGGCACATCTGGGCTGGCACCGCCAGCGTGTGCAGGCATCGCCCTGAAAGGCCTGAGGGTCAGCCCCACGAAGGGCGGCATCTCAGCCGAGGCGCCTTGCTGGCAAGCGGCCGGGTCCCCAGCGCTCCCACCAGCCTCTGGGCTTAGGAAGACCCCCAGGGCCGCCCTGCTGCGGAGAGCGTGGGCCTCCCCCCGGGCATGCGCCCTGGGGTGGCCCTGAGAGGTCCCTCCTTCGTGACGCCACCTCCGCGGGCACCCTGGGGTCACCCTTGGCCTGGGACGCATCGGGGAGTCACTCCAAGAGGCTCTGGGTTTCTGCCGCGGAAGCTGGAGGGGGCCACACAGCGTCCCGGGAGAGGGGCTGCCCCGATTCTGTCTGGCGGACCCCGGCACCGCCCCTCCCCTGGCGGCAGGACTCAAGCGCGAGGGCGCCGCCGACGCGTTACGCCCCGCCCCATCCTCGTCACCCGAGAGCTTGCAGGATGCTTCCCGCACAAGTCCAACCGCTATGGGGCGTGTTCCACGAGCGCCCTCTGACAGGCGGAACGAGACCCGCAGGGGCAAGTGTCAGCGCCGCAACTCCAGCCTGGGCCCCTGGCCGGCCTCCAGTCCCCACACCAGCCCTCCGAAGGGGCCCGCCGAGAGCCCCCAGCCCGAGGGAGAGCAGGAAGGCCTCGCTGCCCTTGCTCGGAATCAGCCGCCGGCGGTCTGGCACACTCAGCCAGCAGTCACGAGTCCCTGCCCGGCACGCTGCGCCCCAAAGCCGGCCCCCAGCGGGTCCTGCCCGCTGCCGCTCGCGGGGCTCCCTCGGCACCCTCGGAGGACGGCGGCGCGCATCTGCAGAAGAGACTGGGCTCGGGAGGCCTAGAGCCGCTGGCA